GCACAATATACAATTGTTAAACTGATGCCAGGACTTTCTTATCAACCCATTGATCAGACACACAGACCTTTCCATTACCCAACCCAAAATTTCAGCCTGGAAACCCTAATAAAACTGTCACCTCGCAAGCTCATAAATACCTTAGTTTGAAGTCTGTGGAATACACATTTCTGATAGAATGATAATAATTATCAGCCAAGACTCTAAAACATCAGCATGTTTTATAACTCATGAAAGAATGACAGCACAGCCATAATATAGACATACCTCCCTCAGTTATTGGATAGCATTTTTAACCCAAACACCCCTATGCTAGGAGGTACCAGAGTGGATTAGGCCTCCACACCCCTCCTATGAGAAACAGATATCCGAGACCTGTCATATCTATATCCCATTTGAAGCTAATTTCATGCTGGACTATAATCTGCATGGTAGCAGACTGTAAATGGCAGGTATTCAGAAATATTAATACTTATAAGAAACTGTATTTGGGACTTGGTCACAAATGTGGTGACCTCCCAGCACCCACCCCTTAAACTGGATGAATGGTCAGATGGTCAACTCCCTTTTGATACCACAGAAAAAAAGGAATGTCAGGACCTTTTGACGAGCTCTCTTTTAACATCAAACCAGGGGACATCTAACTGGACTTGAGAGAGCCACTGTACTATCTTTGTTTATCCTTCGGACTCTACAAACCAGGACATTAAGTATTCTTCATTTTCTTTTTATTTCTCGGTTGCCTTGTTGTCTCTGTATTTCCTTGGACATAGTGCTCTTTTTCCATAAATAATTTACACCATTTTGACCTGGTAATTAACAAACCCTATTTTGAAAAGTGTTGAAATTGTCTCTAACTGATGCAAACTAAAAGAATCCCTGTCTCTTGAAGAGTGTATATGGTAAATCCCTGAATGTACCTATCTTTGGTGACAGTGTGTGTACAGGAGTTTATTTTTCATATTTGCCCTTGCTGATATTGTGAAAGGCTCATAAGCTCAAAGCTATCTGGTGGCAGTTTGGAGTTGAAAGGGTTACTTGCTTATATAGCTTAACCCAGTGACAATCACTCTGAGGATGCTGGTACATAGATTGTGGTCCCACGAGCTGGAAAATCTTTGTGCAGGGTGTAGCTGAGAGTAGCATTGTTATGTGACAGTATGATGTAAGATTGGCCAATCCTTTGTCACGAGTTGGTAATAAGAGCAGGGGTGTGACATCCGTGTTCGCCACAAATGTCATGATTTTTGTTGGTAAAAAAAAATTGGTGCTGTCAGTAAATATTGGCGTCCTGTCAGTAAATATTACTTCGGAAGGTTAGTAACACTGGTTATAACCCTCCTGTGCTCTACCCAAACTGTAAAAAATTTTTTTTACCTGTAGTTCTACTTTGGGCTCTACCTCTGGGAGTTGTGTCTCAGCCTGTATCCATTCAGTTGTTTTGTTACTCTGACAGCACAGCTACATTGTAAATCTTCATCTCAATTGTTCACATTGGCAGTGTTTGCTCAGTGATTTGTAACAACTGCTACATTATACCATTACCTCCCAGAAACGTCTTTACAGTTTGTTTGGTCACCTGACTAGTGCTCAGGGTCCTTAAGCCTGGGAGTCTGTGTACCAAGGGCCATTTCCTTTTGGTGCCCCCTTCTTTTGCAGGCCATTGGTGTTTTTGGTCTCTCCCTCTGGGTTAGGGAATCTTTCCAGACCAAGAAGTTCCAGGGGCTATTCACTGGACTCTGATCAGAGAGGAGACGGTTCCTTCTCCCATCCTTGGAGCGCTCCCCTAATGGATGTATCCTCTTATGCAGGCCATAGATGGGTCGAAAATCGGCCGAAAATAAAATCGGCCGATTTTCGGATCGTTAGTGGGCTATTTGTTCGGCTGCTTTTTCGGTATTTTGGCAGATTTTTTTTATCGGTAAAGTTGGAAAAAAATTGGCCGATTTTGCAGATCGGCCGATTTTCGCGGCAATGATGAGCAAATCGGCCGATTTTTTACCGATAAAAAATCTGAGCATGAGCAGTGAAAAAGAAGAAGAGGATGAAGAAGAAGGAGAAGAAGAAGATGATGAAGAGGATGAAGAAGGTGAAGAAGAGGAGGAGGATGAAGAAGAAGAAGAGGATGATGAAGAAGATGAAGAAGAAGAGGATGATGATGAAGAAGAAGAAGAAGAGGATGATGATGAAGAAGAAGAAGAAGAGGAGGATGATGAAGAAGAAGAGGATGACGATGAAGAAGATGATGATGATGATGATGATGAAGAAGAAGAAGAAGAAGAGGATGATGATGATGCAGAAGAAGAAGAGGATGATGATGATGAAGAAGAAGAGGGGGGTGATGAAGAAGAAGAAGAAGAGGATGATGATGATGAAGAAGAAGAGGATGATGATGAAGATGATGATGAAGAAGAGGATGATGATGATGAAGATGATGAGGATGATGAAGAAGATGAGGATGATGAAGAAGATGAGGATGATGATGGTGAAGAAGAAGAGGATGATGATGAAGAAGAAGAAGAAGAATGAAAAATAAGAGGAATTCCATTGTTGCAACCGCTATAAATGTCAAAGAACTGTCAAAGAAATAGCAGAGCTCTCTGCAGGGACACTTTTTGCTGGCTGTAGACGAGATGAAAATCGGCCGATTTTTTTTTACCATTGCTGGTAACGTCAGCCGCTTGAACGACCGATTTTTCGTTTTTTAAAAGAAAAATCGGTCGTTTTTTCTCCCCGTCTATGGCCTGCATTACTCACTCTAATCTGGCTCTCTGGAACAGGCAGATTTCAAATCATCGGGGGATTCCCCCTCTGGTTAGACAGTGTTGAGTGAGCCATTTATGATCACACTGTCTTTCCTCGAGCCTGGACTTTTCATTTGTATTTTGTGTGTAGTATACACATTTTAGTGGTATGCGTTTTTTTTTTTTTCTGTGTTTTGATGCATGGTATGTTTATTTGTTTACTATCACGCATGCACCCTTTAGGTAGGTGCGTTCTGTTAGTTTTGTGTAGCACATAGTTTGTTTTTTATGTGGATTTGGGAATTTATGCCTTTTGTGCGTTACCTTGGAGGGGGGGGGTAGCACTTTTATTTGCAGTCCTACTTTGGACTCCTTGTCATACGGTATATATTTTTCATCACTTTTAGATCCAATTAGGATCTTTTTGGGCACTATTTATTCATTGGTCCCATTTCGACTCTTTCTTGGCACTTCTGTTCATTGTATTTCTACACACGTTTGTGTGAGTGTTGTTGGCACTTGTCATCATTATCACTTTGCATGATTTATTATTTTGATTATTTTTCATATATTGCATTCATGTTTGTGGGTTTCACATTGTACTAGCGCCACATCATTATTTGTATTACTACTGTGCATGCGATTTCCTCCCAGAGAAACCATGTAAGGCAGGAAACAGATAACACAAATTTATTTCCTGCAGGAAAGAAAATGGCGCGATTCCCCCACCAACAATCCCTCCTGTGGATCTATTGTGTTCTCCCGGCGGGGGAGGTTGGGTGTCAGGTGGGGGCATAGCCGCTGGCAATAATCACGTGTGGATATCTGACATGTTGGTTGTACAACAATTTAATTGGATACAATCAGCTGGCTTATAGATGCTCAAATGTATGGGCTCCAATCACACCGCACAGGTATCAATCATCGGTACCCGGTGCGTACATGAGCACAAGTATCCGTACTCGCTGGAAAAAAAAAAAACCTATGGCTGCAACCCTACTTAGCATAATTTAGCCACACCCACTTGCGCCGCAGTGAGCTACATACGCACTGTGGGTTGCTGCCTCCCTTATGTGTCCCTCATTCTCAAGTCCAAAAGTTGGGAGGTATGCATAGGAGGCCCGCGGGCCACTTCACATCTGTGCGGCCTCTATTTGGTTCGTTTTAGGTGCACTACCATTGAACTCTATGGAACACACATTTCGATGAACGCGCATCAAAGATGCAGCATCCAAGACCTTAACCGCACTGCACCTACATTGCCCTGGGGTGAACGGGCCGAGGGGTGCCATTAGTGCACATGTCCTCCCTACAGAGGAGTGTCTGAGGTGAGTGAGGCTGTGGAATGACATCACAGGTCTCTCCTGAGGGAACCAGGACTGGGCGGGGCTCTGTGGACTGTGCACTACCATTGAACTCTATGGAACACACGTTTCGATGAACGCACATCAAAGATGCAGCATGCATGACCTTAGCCGCACTGCACCTACATTGCCCTGGGGTGAACGGGCCAAGGAGTGCCATTAGGGCACGTCATCCCCAGGGGCAGACTGACAACTCATGAGGCCCCTGGGCAATAGGGGATCATGGGGCCCCTGTGTCCTTGCCCAAACTCAAAAAAGCCTATGAAAAAGGTACCAGGGGCATCTCATGGGGCCCCCTACTGACCCCGGGCCCTCGGGCAGTGCCCGAGTTTCCAAAAGGTCAGTCCGCCCGCCCCTGCTCCTCCCTACAGAAGAGTGTCTGAGGTGAGAGAGGCTGTGGAATGACGTCACGGGTCTCTCCTGAAGAAACCAGGACTGGGCGGGGCTCTATGGACTGTGTTCCTTAGAGGATATGTGGAGGGAGTTGTCGGCCACCCTGACCAGCAGCGAGTCACACACAGTCCAGGAGGAGGGCCTGCTCTGCGCATGTTCTGATACATGCCGGTCTCTAGGAAGGACAATTCTGTCTGATGTCACCTGGGCTCATTCCCGCCCTCTGTAGTCACAAATGTCCTTCCTCCTCACTCCGCGCCTACACTCTATGACACGAGCATCACCCCATCCGGGCACACCCGGCCCAGCCCAACTCGCAAGTCACATGACCGAACTCCGATCACGTGACAACGGATAGCATGAGTCACCCGCTCCGCTATATTGGTAATGAAGTGGGCGTGGCGGGTGCGGGGTCACGAGGTCCGCTGTGTTCCGACAGTCATTACGTCACCGAGGCGCGGAGAGGAGGAGAGCTAGGGCTGATCACACACAGCGGAGGATGAAGGTGTCGTGTGAGTCCGGGGACGGGGGCTCTCTAGGCCGGGCCTGGAAGCAGATGTCCTGGCTGTACTACCAGTACCTGCTGGTCACCGCGCTCTACATGCTGGAGCCCTGGGAGAGGACCATCTTTAGTATCCTTATACAGGAAAACGGGGCCCGGGCGCCACCCGGCCTCTACAGGTTCTCCACACCGGGGGAGAGAAGGATAGAGAGCCGCTACGGGAGTCTATGGAGGGTGGCCATCCAGGGGCCCACAATCTGATTGGACAATGCCTTTTTAGCTGGTCATACATTATACAATTTGCTGTAGATTTACCCACGTGATGTCTGATTGCATACTGAAAGTGTTCAGATCTGGTCTGCTATTGTGGTCAGCCTGAATTGTATAATGTATGGCCAGCCTTCGATCTGCCATCAGCTGTGTAATATGAGGACACACCTAGGCAACTCATCTGCACACAGAGCCTTCTACTACATACATGATGGCAGATCTAAAGGAGTTTGTACAATCGGATTGTGCAGTGTATGCTGAGCTCTGCCAGTGAAAGATCTGTAACCACATCCTGCCAGAGGTGCCCATATATGTAAACGCTTTTCTGTGCTGAGAGCATGTTACTGGCGGGGACCAGAAAGCTGCCATACTGATCAGGAGCTTTCCGATCATATGACTGCCAATCAGAGCGGTCACATGATCGCAATGCCCACCTCTGCATCCTGGCATTTAAATCCGTACTGGCTGGGAGGTGGTGGCGGGAAACAGTCCCTGTAGATGGCTCCTTCTGTATCCACACACAGTGAGCTGTCACTTCATCACCAGCCATCCAGAGTTGGCAGATCAACATCTCACTGTGTGTGTCTGCAGAGGGATCTGTCAGACAGGCGGCCTCTTGGAGATCCTGCCACTTGCGGTGCAATTGCCTTTGTGACATCAGAGCTGGTGGCGATGGGCTGTGTGAGGGCGGCAGATCCGTACATCTGATGTCTCTACAGACCTGTCACACTGGGTGAGTATTTGCAACAATCCAAAATGTTTTTTTGTTCTTCGTGTAAAGCTGGCCATACACTATACAATTTTTCTTATTTTCCTTTAGGTTTCCCTTTTAACTATGTGGTGCAAGGGCCTGCCTGATTGCATAGTAACTGAAAGTGTTTAGGTTTGACCTCCTATTCTATGGTTTTGGTAGCTCTAAAGGAAAATTGTACAAGAGGATTGTATAATGTATGGCCATCCTTGGTAGAGCCGTTTATAGCCGAGGACTTCATCCGAACAATGTAACCCCCAGTCTGCCTCACTGCCAGGGCACAACACCGACCACTATCCCGGCTACCCCTCTGGTAATCTACATTTTATTTTTTGTTAATGCAATTCATTTATTTTCTCAACCACGTTTTACCAGCAGACGCCTTGTACAGCTGGGGTCACGGTGCTAATCTTTGTGAACTCTTACTGCAAATATTTCTGCGTTTATTTATAATGGTTTTACACAAGATTCACACAACTTCCACCCAAGATTAACACATTCAATTCAGTTGGAAACATTTGTGATTCCTGGGTGAAAACATTATCATTGGACCTTTTTAAAGGGTATCCAAAGTCCCGTGTTTTTTTTTTTTTTTTTTTTGTGTGCTTTTTTTTTTGGACTTTGGATAGAGGGCAATATTGCATTGACATTGGTGATCAGGACAACCGGAGAGAGGTGATGGATGGGGAGTCAAAATTACCTAGTCTTTGTATTCATTGGGGGGGGAAAGGGCGCCATCATTGGTGTCAGGGGAATGCTATCCCATCATTTATCAGAGGGGGAGTGCCCCCGTTGTTGGTGGCGGCGGAGGGAGGGGGAGTGCCCCCGTTGTTGGTGGCGGCGGAGGGAGGGGGAGTGCCCCCGTTGTTGGTGGCGGCGGAGGAGGGAGGGGGAGTGCCCCCGTTGTTGGTGGCGGCGGAGGGAGGGGGAGTGCCCCCGTTGTTGGTGGCGGCGGAGGGAGGGGGAGTGCCCCCGTTGTTGGTGGCGGCGGAGGGAGGGGGAGTGCCCCCGTTGTTGGTGGCGGCGGAGGGAGGGGGAGTGCCCCCGTTGTTGGTGGCGGCGGAGGGAGGGGGAGTGCCCCCGTTGTTGGTGGCGGCGGAGGGAGGGGGAGTGCCCCCGTTGTTGGCGGCGGCGGAGGGAGGGGGAGTGCCCCCGTTGGCGGCGGAGGGAGGGGGAGTGCCCCCCCCCTCCCTGTTGGCGGAAGGGAGGCGGTGTTCCCCCCTTCCCCCCCCCCCCCCCCCCCCCCCCCGTTGGCGGCGGAGGGAGGGGGAGTGCGCCCCCCTGTTGGCGGAGGGAGAGTGACCCCCCCCACGTTGTCGGCGGAGGGAGGGGGAGTGCCCCCCTGTCATTGATTATAGTGCTAAAAATAAAACACCAAGTGGTGATTAAATGCCAACAAAGGAAAGCTCTGTGTGTGAAAAAAGTCATATGGGTACAGTGTTGCATGACCGCACAAGTGTCATTCAAAGTGCGACACCACTGAAAGCTGAAAATTTGACCTGGGCAGGAAGGGGGTAAAAGTGCCCAGTAGGCAAGTGGTTAAATTATGTTGCAATCTATGCAGTTGCCTTTTAGATTTACCAGCCTTATATCTAGTCGGGTAGGCCCTTGCACTCTTTCTTGGTGGTAAATATAAAAGGGATGTTCTATTAGATCTGTATGTCTTGTAGTTTTCTGTTCCATGTTGTTTAGCAGCCTGGGTGATCATTGTTGAGGGAAGGTTCTTATGTAAACCATGTTCTGTTTACTTTACTATATTCATCTGAGGTTACACTGTCCCAGCAGCTGAATGTTGTTTTAGGTGGCACATGTTCCGAGGAGGGAGTGGCATTCAGCTTTCTCCACGAGACACATGGTTGTCACTGGATTTATCCATCTGGTGTGAGGGCTAGTAAACCGGAAATCTTCTATAATATGATCATGAATCATTTACTGCTTGTCTTCCTGATGTTATGTATGTGCCGAGAGCAGTGCTGATCTCAGTGTGCTATTTCCACACTCTTCCAGCACACAGGTCAACATGTGGTGTCTTCATGCCGAGCTTGGTTATCGCTCCTGTAGTGTAGCCAAGTCTTTAGATTGTAGATTATGATAGTAAGATTCTGTTATAGTCATTCACCAGGAAGAGGTGGACTAGGCTTGGAGTTTTTGAGTAGCCCAGTTGTGCTACTAACACCACTAGTAATTACAGTGTATATCCGGACAAAACCTTTTCCATTGGATCGTGTGGGGAAGGGTTACATCCCCTTTTGGGTTTTTGTTGCCATTCAGGGCTCGGATATACAGATGTCTTCCCACTTCCTGGCCTGGTAACACGTTTTACCAGACAAGATGTGAGAGATTGTGTACAACAGGGACACGGACAGAAATGCAAAGCCTTCCTCTGCGGTGTCCTACTTGCAGATTTTCCCTTAGCCTGGGTTCACACTAGAATGAGGTGCAGGATACCCACAATCCGTCTACACTGCCCTTGCGAACTGCAGTAAGTGTCAGTGCAATCTTATTGACACCCCAAATGAAGTTCTTTTGCCTGTACCGGATCGCATGGTACAAAACGACCATGCAATCCGGTTGCAGTGCAGTTCCAAAATTGGTGCATGCAGGACTTTGGTGAAATTTACCACAATCACACCACAATGAATATGGTGCGGTTCAACAAATACTTTAAAGTCCAACACTGCAAAAACAATAAGTTGACAATCTGTGGATCGGAGGGCAGTCTCCAGGAGACACATGTACAAGGCATGAACTCATCCTTAAAGTGATACTAAAGGGTTTTTTTTTCATAGAACATACATGTCATACTTACCTGCTTTGTGCAATGGTTTTGGACAGAGCAGCCCTGATCCATCCTCCTCATTGCTGGTGCTCTTGGCCCCTCCCCCTCAACCCCCCCGCCTCCTACCCCCTTTGGGCACTCATGCTTGCTCGCTCCCGAGCCACCTCTGAGCGTCTATAAGACACAGAGCGAGGCTTGGCCCGCCCCCACTCCCTCCTCACTGGCTGTGGTTGACTCCTGCTGCTGTGTCTCAGCCAATGCAGAGGGAGAGACTCGGGAGAGCTGCTGCCCTCATGCACATTGCTGGATCGGGCTCAGGTAAGTATAAGGGGGCTCAGAGGGGAGCTGCACACTGAAGTATTTTTTACCTTCATGCATAGAATTTATGAAGATAAAAAACCTTTAGCCTTTCCAACCACTTTAAATTATAACTGGCTGTTTATTATTCAGCTATAGTTTCTTCGCCACTAACAAGTCTGCAGATTGGCGACATTGAATTCCTTATGATAGGGACTCCGAACGTGCTGCAGTCAGAGGTTTAGAATGACAGTCAAGCAACTGGTGTACAGTAATGGTAGCTTCCACATTTATCTCAGTACTGGTTTCCTTTAGTAAATTACTCCAGGCGGTAATAAGTTCAAAGTTTTGGGAGGGGTTTACTACTACCAGAGCAGACAGAATCTGGTACAGCTGTGTATAGTAACCAATCGGCTTCAAGGTTCAAGGCCCTTTTTACCCCTATGGATCAGTGGATATAAACAGACTTCAGTCCGCTTAAAAAAACAAAAAAACAAAAAAAAAAAAAATCTGTTCCCATCCATCTAGGTGGATCGGAGGGCAGTCGGGAGTAAACAGACAGCGGACAGAAGACTGCAGGGCCATGGATTGAGGTTAGTATTACCCTGTGTTCGATCATCTGTAAAAATGAGCACTATATTCTCCATCAGTAGAGGCGGTGGGGGCATTTATTATTTTATTACTGCCCAGAGTTAAGCTGGTCATACATGTATTGCATTTAGTTGAAAACTGCTTTGTGGGCGGTCCTGTGAGCACTACCCTTTATCGACAAAATTTGATTTTTCAATCACTTTATGTTGAACGAGCTGAGGTGGAAAATATTTGCTCAATCAGCACCTGGTTCCAATCAGATGCAGGCACAAATTCAGTATTTTGACAGGCGGCTGCTTCGGAGGAATCTCTGAGTTTTTTATTTATTTATTTTTTTCTTCTTCAGCCCACAGGTTGAACAAAGTGCGTCTATATGTGTATGGTCAGCTATAGGCTTTAGGAACAATGACATGTAAACCACAGGAGCCTTTGCCTCTGTTTA